ATCGGTCTGAAAAGCGAGGTGTGCTCTGATTGGCCAGCTGTCCAGTGCATTGTGATTGGCCGAATACCTCAAGCATGTGATGGAAATGTTACGCCCCTTACCATATTGTGATGCTGTGTCCGGCCGGAGCGATGAGACAAAAACCTTAAAACCCATTATAAACAAGGCATTTGTTGCATCCAGTGGGGATATAATTATGGATTATAATGTCATATACTGTCTTTTTGAAAAGAAAAGGCCGGCGGGCTTGCGGCAACCAAATGTGACGACCCCGGGCTGGACTCCGCTTCATCCATGGTGAAAGCCGATCCACAGCGCGAAGTTGATGCACTTCCTCAGCGACCAGCACGGATCAGCTCTAGGCATGACGAAGCGGATAGGATACCAAAAGATATCGTCCTCTTTTGGAAGGTCAAACAAAGTAGTTTCGCTTTCACAACGAAACACACAGCGCCTTTACGACATGGCGGCAACAACAATACTACAGCGAGAATAAAAGTTATGCCTTCTTTCTTTGCGTGAACATTTGGGCGGCGTTATGCAAATCTTCCCACATCGTGACGTAGACGTGTGGGGGCGTGTTAGAACGAGCCATTTTAGGGGGGCATGGTTAACTTTTATAAAGAATATCTCTTTGGATTTGAGTCTTTAGTCTTTGCACTTTTACAGATCTTCTTTATGCACCAAGAGCTTGTAACACTCCAAAGAGAAAGGAAAATTTGAAATCGCATCATATGACCCCTTTAAAAGTACTTTAGATGTTAAAACACAGAGTTACCAATGACATGGCCAGTAAAGAAGTTTTCTCTCTGGACCTCATACATCTCTTGAGCACCATTCTCCCCTATTACCACAGCCTTAAAGTCATGAGTGAAGAGCTCTGTGTTGGTTGTCAGGTACAGTTTGAAATGCCTGTGAAATATTTAGGGGAGTTTATCAAATGACTGAGCACCAATATTGGCGGTGACATTGTGTCATGGTACATGGGTGATGAGTATTCACCTCTGCAATGCAGTGAAACCGAGAAATCTTTCTGCGTGCGTTTGCAACTGGACGTCTCTCTTACGAACCGAATGCTGTTGAAGACTGGACAGCTGAAGAACATCAAAGTCTGACAGCAATGAGCTGAGCTGGTCTGAAAGAGGCACAGGTAAAAACTTTATGCATGTCACTAAATGAGACAAATGTATTTTTAAAGTGAATTTACTGCTCAGAAAGAGTTTCTCTCAACTATGACCACGGAATAAAAAAAAAGGTAATTGCGACTTTTTATCTCACAATTCTGACTTTATTTCTTGCAATTGCACGTCTATGACAATTCATACCTTTTTAGAATTGCGAATTTATAACAATTGAGTTTATATCTCGCAATTTTGAGTTACCATCTTGCTTTTCCCAGTTTTTCTAAAAATGCACATTTATATCTAACAATTCCGACATTTTTTCTGAATTTTGAGTTTACATTTCACAATTCTTACTTTTTTCTCTAAATTCTGAGTAAACAATTCGCAATTGTGACATTTGTTTTCTCAGAATTCTGTTGACATCTTGCAATTCTGACTTTAATTCCCGCAATTTCAGGTTTATATCTTGCCATTCTGACTTTTTCTTAGATTTGCGAGTTTATTTCTCGCAATCCTTACTTCTTTTCTTTGAATTCGAAGTTTACACCTCTCAATTCTAACTTTTTATTTGTCAGAATTCTAAATTTCTCTTTGAAGGGGCTCTTAATTTAGTGGAGTAAAAGATCGGAAAAACCCGGAGTGGCATTTAAAACCCGGAGTCATTATTACAGAACGCTTTGAGTGGAGTGGCAAAATAACTTTCACTCCACTCCACTCACGCAGAGCTCCAGTCCGTGTGTTGTTTTGTGATAGCCAATCATTGAGGCTTTGGATTCTTTTGGAACAATTTTCATTACCAGAAAGAGAAAAAGAAATTAAATGGCCATTGTTTTCTGCAGAATAAGTTATACTCATTATTAACTTTTTACTTATATCGTTGTTTATCATTTTGTTTATAACACCACTAATAATATACATATAACTAAAAGTATGGCATATTAGTGAAAAGTCTGGTTGCCATAGTAAACTATCGTAAAATGCTTTTACAGTTTAGTGTCTCAAACAGTTTGCTTAAAGTCATTCAATTCAATAACAAAAACAAGATCTGATATTTGAAATACAGTAAGGGTTTTGAAAAAGCGCAATATGGTTATGACGGCGTCACCAACATAACACAATCTTTCAATTTAAATGTATCCATAATGTTTTCAAAGTATTCCCATTCCCAATAACTCACCGTACTCGTCGTCTAGGACATCCCTAATGGGTCTCCTTGAACATTCCGTCAAGAAAAAAGATGCCAGAAAGAAAACGATGCGTTTCATGGCGAGGACGTTAATGCTCAAAACAGAACTTCACACAGCAGCGGCATTTAATCCCATGGATTATCAATCTGTTTGAGATCAACATCTGGACATGGCCAAACAAATGTACACGCTCACATCTGGCTGGATAAAACAAAGCCACAAAGTATCAATTGAGTATCAAAGAAAACCGCTCACTTCAAGACGCTTTAGTCCATGTCGCCTGATGTTATAAAGAAAAAAAGATTCACTCAAAACCAAATCATGCCAACATCTGAGTGTAGTGAAATACCCGGAAGTATTTCATGTGGGATGGATGGATCAGTTTCAACACGCGCCAGGAAATCACTATTAACTTTATCTAGAGATCGTGTTTAAAGACGTTTTCAAAAGACTGATTTAAAGGGTTGATTTTAAATTCACGCGTTAGTCAGTATATCCGCGGTATGAGTGAGTTACGTAAAGTGTTGGGTCGTTCTTGAACGATTCGTTTATTTTGAACGAATCTTTAATGTGACTCGGGATAGAACGAGTCGTCTCGGGGAGTGATTCGTTCAGTCGCGCATGCGCAACATCCTATAGGTTCTGTACTGGAATTAGTCAAGTAGTTCCCTCTCATAGGCTCACTTTGATGCTGCGATGATGTCATCGCCTTGGGAACACTTTCGGTGTGACAAATGTCTGAAGCTCTTATACCATCACGTCAATTTATTGGCCAAATAGCGCTTAGCACCACACCCAATGCGCACGTAGGTGAGCTATATAGCGTGCTGCGCGCTATTCCATCAGATTTCATTTCCTTCAGGAAGCGAATCATCTGTCGCCCGTAGGAAAGCGTTATTTTATCGTATTCTCAGCTAATTTCTTATAAGAGCAGTTTACTCCTCTTCAGCGGACATGATGAACTACAGGAGATGCATCGAGCCATGTGACAGGTTCATCGCAGGAGACACTCATGACAGGTGCGTGCAATGTTTGGGCCTACAACACACCCAAGCGGCCTCTCTGATTGTCGACACTGTGATAGCCTACGGCTAAAAGCACTGCGCTCAAGGTTCGCGGCCTTCTCAAATAAAGTAGGCCTCGCGTCTAACCCTCGCTATCCTGTTTCTGCAGTTGCCGAGGCGCCGCACGAGATGGTCGCTTGGGGTGACGCATGCGAGCCGAGGCACTTAGAGGGCGAGTCAACGGAGTTCTCTCCTTTTCTCTCGCTCTCTCCAGGCCATGTGCAAGCGCTCAAATAGCGCTAAGGGGACCCTGTGGTCTTCGTCAATGATAATTTGCGGCCTACCCCGGAAGCTCGCGATGTGATGTCTTTTGGTTGTATGGCATATGACGAAGACGTGCTGTCCACAGCGGCCTCAGATTCCGAGGATTTATTGGGTGAAGTGTGCAGTTCTCTCCCTCTCAGTGGACAGGAGAAACGCACCTCCCTGTCTTACAGCGAACTATTAGACGTTGTAACGCACGCTGTGGATAAGCTGGGGTTAGAGTGGGATAGCGAGCCGGCGCAAAATCAGACCCAGTCGAAACTGGACGATCGATTTTTGTCCAGCCGCACTCCATCTCAACCCCGTAGGCCTCTCCCCTTCTTCCAAGACCTCCACCACGAGGTTTCAAGGTCTTGGAAACAACCTTTTTCGGCGCACATCACTAATCCCGCGGCCGCTGATTTCGCCACAGTTTCTAAAATGGCAGATCACGGCTATGCGGCGATGCTGACCGTAGAAGAGACTCTCGCGGCACATCTCGCTCCAAATTCTGCTCCGTCTTGGAAGTCACGCCCTCTGCTGCCGTCCAAGCTGTGTAGGGTTACTTCCGCTTTGATCGGAAAATCTTACATGGCCGCTGGGCAGGCCGAAGCTACACTACATTCTATGGGTTTACTCCAGGCTTATCAGGCAGATGTGCTCAAGGAGCTGGACGAGGGAGAAGGCCTGACCCCAGAGGCCGTTAAAGAGCTCAGACGAGCTACTGACTTGGCGCTAAGGGCTATCAAGCACACGGCTCGAGCAGTGGGCAGGTCCATGACAGGTTTAGTGTCAGCTGAGCGCCATCTTTGGCTCACTCTCACTGACATTAAGGAGAAGGACAGGACCTCCCCATTTCGAGTGACGGTCTGTTCGGAGATTCGGTCACTACGGTCGTGGAGAAGTTTCGAGCAGCGAAACAGCAGTCCCCCACATTTCGTCAGCTCATCCCGCGCAGGGCTAGGGAAGTAGAGCGTCAGCCACCTGCGGCTCGTTAACGCTCGTCCTCCTTACAGCGTCATGAGCCATCGCCTAAGTTACCCCCTCGTAAGGATTGGGGTCCTAGGTCTCGGCCACCTGCTCACCCACGACAACGCAAGCGGTTAGACCTGAGTTCGACAGCTAAGACCTCTCGTTCTCAGGCTCCTAATAGCAGTTCCTGATTCCTCCACTCGTCTTCGGAGGCCAGGCCCTCCTTTAGAGAGTGTGGACGAACCGCACAAGCGTATTCGCCCCTCTCACTGTGGCCTCCTGACTCCGATCGTGACGGTCCCGCCGCATATTTCGCCTCAGGCAGTCTTAGGTCGAGTCCTTACGACGAGCACCCTCTCGGATAATCTGCGCGTTGCAGCCTTCAGAGTTCGAAAGAAAGCCCAAGGGTCATGCGAGCATGGCCCGTTTATGATGGCCTCCAAAGCTCCCACCTTTGGGGTGGGGGGCAGGCCCAACAGGCAATCGGACATCTTCCCGTTATAGCTTTTTCCGCCACTCAGGTGCTCCGGGATCCTATACGGAAGAATCAGGCGTACGTTCCAACCGAAACAGAATGCCCAAGACCCCTGGCAGACTATTGGGCTGCGTGGAGACGCCTACCCGATATTTCAAGGTGGGTACTACGCACCGTTCGACACGGTTACACTATCCAGTTTCGAAAAGGGCCACCTCCTTTCAGCAGGGTTCTTCCTACGACGGTACGTCCTGGGGAGGCCTCAATCTTAAGTCAGGAGATCGTGTCACTCCTAGAGAAAGGGGCTATAGAGGAGATACTCCCCACTCAGATGGAGTCAGGCTTCTACAGCCGGTATTTTGTTGTGCCCAAAAAAGATGGTGGTTTTCGTCCGATTTTGGACTTGCGTCGTCTAAATCTTGTGCTCAGAGTGAGCAAGTTCAAGATGCTAATGGTGAAGTCCATTCTGTCTCAGGTCCAATCCGAAGATTGGTTTGTGACCATTGATCTAAAGGATGCATACTTTCACATCCCGATCGTCAAGAGGCACAGGAAGTTCCTCAGGTTTGCTTTCGAGGGCAAAGCATACCAATATTGTGTTCTTCCAATCGGACTAGCTTTGGCTCCTCGAACATTTACAAAATGTATGGACGCATCTCTGGCCCCGTTGCGGCTCCAGGGCATCCGAATCTTGAACTACCTGGATGATTGGCTAATATTAGCCCAATCCCAGGATCAGGCAAGGATACATCGAGATTTGGTACTCGATCATCTGAGGAGCCTAGGGTTACAGACAAATATTCAAAAGAGTGTCCTGCTGCCGTGTCAGCAAACAACCTTTTTGGGGGTGGATTTGGACTCTTGCACGATGCGGGCACGGCTGTCTCCCGCACGTGTGCAGTCAATACGGACCTGTCTAGGCCAGTTCAAGACAGGACGCCGAGTACACGTAGGCTTGTGTCTCAGGCTGTTGGGTCTGATGGCGGCGGCGTCCCCTGTAGTTCAGTTGGGCCTGCTCCACATGCGACCGTTTCAGTGGTGGACCAAGAGCCAGAACATTTCACAGCACAGTCATCCGCTTCGCAGAATTACGGTGATACGCAGGGGCTTTCGTACTCTAAGCCCGTGGATGAGACCCCAGTTCCTTCTGGGGGGGGGTCCAGATGGGGACGTTGTGACGCCGCAAGACGGTCACGATGGACGCATCCCTCACGGGCTGGGGAGCGGTCCATCAAAGACGTCCAGTCGGTGGAGTCTGGACAGAAGTACATCGTGGCTGGCACATAAATCGTTTGGAGATGCTTGCAGTTCTCCTGGCTCTCAAACAATTTTTACCCCAGTTGAGGGGTTATCACGTGTTAGTCAGGACAGACAACACGGCAGTCGTGTCATACCTCAATCGTCAAGAAGGATTACGTTCTCGCCTCCTGTACAGGCTGACGAGGCGTGTTCTTCTTTGGGCTCAGACAAAGCTCCTGTCAATCAGAGCAGTCCATATCCCAGATCGCTTGAACTCAGGAGCGGACCTGCTCTCGAGACAGAGTCTGCAGGATGGGGAATGGAGATTACACCCCCAAGTGGTGGATCTTTTATGGCAGAGGTTCGTGTCACTCCTAGAGAAAGGGGCTATAGAGGAGATACTCCCCACTCAGATGGAGTCAGGCTTCTACAGCCGGTATTTTGTTGTGCCCAAAAAAGATGGTGGTTTTCGTCCGATTTTGGACTTGCGTCGTCTAAATCTTGTGCTCAGAGTGAGCAAGTTCAAGATGCTAATGGTGAAGTCCATTCTGTCTCAGGTCCAATCCGAAGATTGGTTTGTGACCATTGATCTAAAGGATGCATACTTTCACATCCCGATCGTCAAGAGGCACAGGAAGTTCCTCAGGTTTGCTTTCGAGGGCAAAGCATACCAATATTGTGTTCTTCCAATCGGACTAGCTTTGGCTCCTCGAACATTTACAAAATGTATGGACGCATCTCTGGCCCCGTTGCGGCTCCAGGGCATCCGAATCTTGAACTACCTGGATGATTGGCTAATATTAGCCCAATCCCAGGATCAGGCAAGGATACATCGAGATTTGGTACTCGATCATCTGAGGAGCCTAGGGTTACAGACAAATATTCAAAAGAGTGTCCTGCTGCCGTGTCAGCAAACAACCTTTTTGGGGGTGGATTTGGACTCTTGCACGATGCGGGCACGGCTGTCTCCCGCACGTGTGCAGTCAATACGGACCTGTCTAGGCCAGTTCAAGACAGGACGCCGAGTACACGTAGGCTTGTGTCTCAGGCTGTTGGGTCTGATGGCGGCGGCGTCCCCTGTAGTTCAGTTGGGCCTGCTCCACATGCGACCGTTTCAGTGGTGGACCAAGAGCCAGAACATTTCACAGCACAGTCATCCGCTTCGCAGAATTACGGTGATACGCAGGGGCTTTCGTACTCTAAGCCCGTGGATGAGACCCCAGTTCCTTCTGGGGGGGGGTCCAGATGGGGACGTTGTGACGCCGCAAGACGGTCACGATGGACGCATCCCTCACGGGCTGGGGAGCGGTCCATCAAAGACGTCCAGTCGGTGGAGTCTGGACAGAAGTACATCGTGGCTGGCACATAAATCGTTTGGAGATGCTTGCAGTTCTCCTGGCTCTCAAACAATTTTTACCCCAGTTGAGGGGTTATCACGTGTTAGTCAGGACAGACAACACGGCAGTCGTGTCATACCTCAATCGTCAAGAAGGATTACGTTCTCGCCTCCTGTACAGGCTGACGAGGCGTGTTCTTCTTTGGGCTCAGACAAAGCTCCTGTCAATCAGAGCAGTCCATATCCCAGATCGCTTGAACTCAGGAGCGGACCTGCTCTCGAGACAGAGTCTGCAGGATGGGGAATGGAGATTACACCCCCAAGTGGTGGATCTTTTATGGCAGAGGTTCGGCCGAGCGGAAGTAGACTTGTTCGCTTTGAACATGACTACGCACTGCCCGCTTCGGTTTTTCCTGTCTTCCCCGTCGCCTCTAGGTCTGGATGCTCTGGCCCACAAATGGCTCAGGACCAATCTTTATGCTTTTCCCCCAATCCGGTTGCTCCCAGCAGTCCTGTTCAGAATACGATCAGAGAGAGTGGAGCACCTGCTGCTGGTGGCCCCGTGGTGGCCCACTCAGTCGTGGTTCTCGGACCTGGTCAGTCTGCTAGCCGGCCCTCCATGGGAAGTTCCCCTCAGACACGATTTGCTAATGCAAGCTTGGGGCATGATTTGGCATCCTCGACCGGAATTATGGAAGTTATGGGCGTGGCCCCTGAGTGGGGTACGCTAATGTGTTCTGGTCTCTAGGCTGAGATTACCGACACTATTATGAATTCTAGAACTCCCTCCACGAGACGCTTATATGCTTTCAAGTGGAGACTTTTTGCCTCTTGGTGTAGACAGCATATTTTGGATCCAGTCCACTGTTTGCTGTTTAAAGTCTTTTTGCAACCTAGGCCTGATTATGTTCCGAAAGTTGCTTCGACTCAGTTTCATTTTCAACAAGTGGTCTTGGAGGCTTTTTCCCCAGTTGAAGAAGGGTCAGTTAGCCTGAATCTCTTTCCAGTTAGGGCACTTAGGATCTATGTTGACCGCATGGTTCGGTGGCGTGGATCTGACCAGTTGTTTGTGTTTTTTGGTGGTAGGAGCAGAGGTTCTGCTGTCACTAAACAGCTGATGTCACACTGTATAGTGGAGGCTATCTCTTTGGCTTATGAGGCGCGTGGCTTGACTTCGCCTCTAGGGGTGCGTGCTCATTCAATGAGAGCAGTGGCTTCTTCTCAGGCCTTTTTCAAGGGGTCCTCGATGGAAGATGTTTGTGCATGCGGCAGGATGGTCCTCTCCTAGCACCTTCATCAAGTTTTACAGTCTGGACGTGAGGATGGCTCCTGGCTCCCGGGTCTTATCCGCTTGAGTAGACGCTTTACTCGGTCTTCCAGCTATCTAAGGTACGTCAGGCGTTATGGTATAGCGTTCCCAAGGCGATGATGTCATCGCATCATCGAAGTGAGCCTATGAGAGGGAACATATCGGTTACGTATGTAACCTTGGTTCCCTGAATAGAGGAACGAGATGCTCGGCCGTTCCGTACCTTGATAGCGCTTCTTCGAAAATCAGTGAAATCTGATGGAAATAGCGCTATATAGCTCACCTACGTGCGCATTGGGGGCGGTGCTAAGCGCTATTTGGCCAATAAATTGGCGTGATGGTATAAGGGCTTCAGACATTCGTCACACCGAAGGTGTTCCCAAGGCGATGACGTCATCGCAGCATCTCGTTCCCCTATTCAGGGAACCACGGTTACATACGTAACCGAGATGTTAACCTGGTTCGATTCTTCGGGTTTTTCCAAGTCGTTCGTTCATCACGTGACGGCCCCATAAGCTTTAACCAATGCCGTCTGAGCCGGAAAGAGAATTGATTAGTTCATCTCTCGAGTCTTTGGGTTTTTCCGAGTCGTTCGTTCATCACGTGACAGCCCCATAAGCCCAAACCCGAAGACTTGTCAGATAAGAGGGGAGGTGAGCTAATCATAGACTGAAGACCCAGGTAAACAATTAATCTTTTCTGTTTCTTATAGCAGTTTTGTATTGTTTGTAGTATGATCAACGTTTGCGTAAGTAGTAGACATATTAGGGAAGTAACACGTAACATTTTAATTATATTTTGCTAAAATGAACGAAATGACTCAAAAGATTCATTCATTTTGCTGAACGAGACTCAAAGGGCCGAGTTGGTAAAATGATCCGAACTTCCCATCACTATAAGAGGATAAACTCTCGGGCTGAGGATAAAAACCTTGTGTGCTGCCTATATAGTCAGCATTTGTTCGGCGTCACAGTCGTGTGAGCGTGTCTAGGTAGAGAGCGCACTTGGTTTTGAGAACAGCCTCGGTCTCGTCCGGACACTATTTTTAAATTCTTACCTCAAACCCCATTAAATTCAGACCAGCGTCTAGACTCATTTGGAGGACAGTATACAAGCAGGTGTAAATCTTTTATTTTAGTATACAGGTGCATCTCAATAAATTAGAATGTCATGGAAAAGTTCATTTATTTCAGTAATTCAACTCAAATTGTGAAACTCGTGTATTAAATAAATTCAGTGCACACAGACTGAAGTAGTTTAAGTCTTTGGTTCTTTTAATTGTGATGATTTTGGCTCACATTTCACAAAAACCCACCAATTCACTATCTCAACAAATTAGAATACTTTATAAGACCAATAAAAAAACATTTTTAGTGAATTGTTGGCCTTCTGGAAAGTATGTTAATTTACTGTACATGTACTCAATACTTGGTAGGGGCTCCTTTTGCGTGAATTACTGCCTCAGTGCGGCGTGGCATGGAGACAATCAGCCTGTGGCACTGCTCAGGTGTAATGGAAGCCCAGGTTGCTTTTATAGAGGCCTTCAGGTCATCTGCATTGTTGGGTCTGGTGTCTCTCATCTTTCTCTTGACAATACCCCAGATTCTCTATGGGGTTCAGGTCTTACTGTGCTTGATTGGCCTGCAAACTCGCCTGACCTGAACCCCATAGAGAATCTATGGGGTATTGTCAAGAGGAAGATGAGAGACACCAGACCCAACAATGCAGATGACCTGAAGGCCGCTATCAAAGCAACCTGGGCTTCCATACCACCTCAGCAGTGCCACAGGCTGATTGTCTCCATGCCACACAGCACTGATGCAGTAATTCATGCAAAAGGAGGCCCTACCAAGTATTGAGTACATGCACAGTAAATTAACATACTTTCGAGAAGGCCAGCAATTCACTAAAAATGTTTTTTTTATTGGTCTTATGAAGTATTCTAATTTGTTGAGATAGTGAATTGGTGGGTTTTTGTGAAATGTGAGCCAAAATCATGCCAATTAAAAGAACCAAAGACTTAAACTACTTCAGTCTGTGTGCACTGAATTTATTTAATACACAAGTTTCATAATTTGAGTTGAATTACTGAAATACATGAACTTTTCCACGACATTCTAATTTATTGAGATGCACCTGTATTATAACTGACTTAAAGCATTAAGTTTATTTGTCATAAGTACTAATTATATTCAAAGAACTGTTAAACCATCAATAATAATAATAATAATAATAATGAGTTTAATGGCTTTTAGTCCACGTCTATTAGTTGTTAGGGTGCCCTACTGTACTAGTAAATGCTGACTATTTTTTACTTGTAGCATTCAGTTTTTCTTTTTCCTGGAAAACGGACCAAAAATACTGATGACTCATTCTACGCTCGATCATTTTGACCAATCATTTGCTTTCTAGAATAACAGCATTTGATTAGACACTTCTGCAAAGTGATGTAAACAAAAATGCTACTGGCATTAAAAAAAATAAATAAGAGACAGAAATACATGTCCTATTTCGAGAGGAAATACATCAATGTGTCTATATAATCAGAAACCCCGTCAACTGCATCACATTATCTCACAAAAAAAAAGTCACCAAGACAGACTGAGAGAAAACAATGAAACAAATCTGTATGGTTTATAAAATGGTCATTTTAATTCAGGTTACATTGCTGTTATGTAGGGCTTGTACATTTTCACAAGGCTTTGGGGGGACTACAGTCAATGATTAGCAAAAACACAAGTGGTCCAATTAACTCCATTGACATCACTTGACAAATCAAACATCCTCTCAACATGTGCATAAACCTGCAATGAAAAGTACTAAACCAAACTGTGGAACAAGTATGCAGTTTTGGTTCCCATTCCAGTGTATATTGAAAAATGGGCATGCATGGTATTTCTTTTCCCTTCTAATTATCACAAGCCATCACAAGGTAACACATTATAGTGAAAACCATAACTAGGCAGGAGTGTTTCGTGACCTTCATGATGAAGACATGATTCAAATGGTCAATGAAAAAAGTGCATACTTGGCAGAGCAAAGCTAGCTGACTTGGTACATCAGACAACAGCCTTCCTGCTATCAATACTAAATCACAGGCCCATTTTAAGCCAACACTATGACAGTCAACAAGACATTTATCTCATTCAAGTGCATGTTGATCTCCCTAGAGAGACATATAATGGAAGGTGATATAGCAGGACAGGAACTAGCCATGCTTGAGGCAAAACGCTTTGCATTTTGTGACCGACACTTCCAATGTTTCAGTTCACCAGAATATACACACTAGTCGCTGTGTCACAATTAAAGGACAATTGATTTTATGTGAGGCTAATACTTTTCTACAGCAGACACTGCACATATAGAAGGCCAATGGACAAAAACACAAAACTGAGGAGTGGAAATGTTACTTTAACTTAATATTTACCTTCATTACAACCACAAGCCAGGTGGCTTGTGAAAAAAAACTGATTTGAATTCCCACACTCACAGCTCATTGGTAATGATCATGGGTTTACATGGCAAGAATAATCATAAGTGAAACAATAAGGAATGAAGAAGGGTAAAAAGTTGTCTTTTTCCAGGATTCTTTTTCTTTAATATGTGGATAGATGTGGGTGTTTAGTTCTCTCCTCCGTCTCCTCCTTCACCCTCATCTGCAGCGTTGTCAGAGGTCCATAACTAATTAAAAAAAAGAAGACAAAAAGCTGTTTTTGAATACTGAACATTTATATTTTGAATTCCCAATATAAATGATTGTAATATAACTTATCTAAAGCACAAGCCACAAGTTTCAGAGAAGATTATTTTTGGTCTTCTGTAGGTTAGTATGACCTTCTTTGTAACTCACTGTGAGGTTGTCTCTAAGCAGCTGCATGATAAGTGTGCTGTCTTTGTACGAGTCTTCATTCAGTGTATCCAGCTCTGCAATGGCTTCATCAAAGGCCTGCAAGCACAAGGCCACAATAAGTTGAAGTATGTGAAGAACCACAAAAGTCAAGCCCCTGGTATGCGAACCATGTGTCTGATGAAATTCAAAGCTTGAAGAAAAGCTAAAAATCCAGAAGGACAAGTGGGTAAAATTTCCATAGGAATTTCCCTTTATTGAGTTCAAGGTCTAATTAAAGTTCAAGTAAATATTTTCCACTACTACCCGCACCTAAAAGAATGGGGAAAAAGCCCCAACCCTATATGCTATTGTTTTGCGAAAAACTTGTAAAATCCCTGCTAAACAGCTTAGTACAGGTAGTCCCTCCTCAAACTCATATTATTGGTCGAGCTGAAAGTTGAAATGTTGAAAAAAAATAATAAATAAATTAGACTTTACCTTAAAATTAAAATCAGCCTTTACTTATCCTCACGTCGTTCCAAACCATTAAGACTTTGGTTAATCTTCAAAACACAAATTAAGATATTTTAATGAAACCTGAGAGGTTTCTGTTCCTCATAAAGCAGGGCTCCAGACTGCGACCAAATAGTCTGTCGCATATGAGAAATATCAAATGGCAAATGAAACAAGCAACAAAATCCAGCTACTCGTTTGAGCTGCGCAGCACGGACCGTTTATCAACTCGGGCCGCGACACAAACAAACTTGTCCGAGCTCAGAACAGCTTTACTCTTACACTCTTACTTTTACACTGTTACTGCACAGCGGTGCGAGATCCAGCGAGAAGCGTTTGAATTCGCTGCAGAATGAATAAAGGTTGCTGTGAGATCTAGTGAGATGCATTCAAATTCTGCACAGAATTCTCTGTTATAAACAGATCAAACAGCGCTGACGTAGAAAACAAGAAGCAGTAACGCTAACTGTAATCATGGTGTTGTGGTAGAATTAGTCAAATGTCATTACATTATTCATTTCAGGGTTTGTACAATCTTTTGAGAGAGAAATTCAAGCAATTTTCAATGACTTACAAGCATTTCACACAATTGTTGCCAGCACTTTAAAGCTCCAAAATGATTCAATTTGAATGTTATTTTCAGTGGAATGACCAAAATATACTGTGGTGAACAAACACTTGTAAAATAAATAAAAAATACATCAAATCACAATTATAACCTGTAGATGACAACAGAGGAGCACCTGTTGGCTTATGAGTTTTTTTATGAGTCAATTTGCAACTAAATGCATTTCTGGTCTGGACAGTACTCCAGAGACCTGTGCAGCATTCCTACATTATTTTATGGGAAAGGTGGACGCCATATGGTCTACTGTTACAATGTGCAGTCATGACCCCTCTCTGAACCCCTCACCTGTCATGCTTTTTTTTAACCAATATTCCTTTCTGAGCTTGGCGATATAGTTCACAAGATTAAGCCTAACTTCTCCTGTGGATGTTATCCCCACCTGGCTCTTTAGAGGCCCTGGATACTATCAGCCTTAGTGTTAGTGTTAGACAGTGGCCGTGTTCCTATATGCCTCAAACAAGCAGTGATCACGCCTCTTAAGAAGCCAAATTTAGACAACCAATATTAAAAATTTCCACCCTATTTTTAAGTTGCCACTCTTGTCTAAAATTTTAGAGAAAATACATTTTAATCAGTTGTCTTCTTTTGTCTCACAAAACGATATTTTAGATAAATTTCAGTCTGGTTTTAGAGCCCATCATAGCACCGAGTCTGCACTGCTGAAGGTGTCGAACGATCTAATCCTTGCTTTGGACTCTGGTAAATCTGCTATTTTAATGCTACTTGATCTTAGTTCTGCATTTGATTCAGTTGATCATGCTACCCTTCTTAATCGTCTAAGGGATGAAGTTGGCATTAGGGGCACGGCACTGGATTGGTTCTCATCATACCTCTCTGATAGATCAGTTAAGGTGATGATTGGACACTCGTCCTCTCCTTGTGCACCGCTCACCTATGGGGTACCTCAGGGATCCCTCTTGGGGCCTATCTTATTTTGTTTGTATATGCTCCCCTTGGGTTCGATCATGAGGAAATATAATATTTCATATCATTGTTATGCTGGCGATACTCAGATCTACATTCCTCTCAGCTCTGATCACTCTTATTCTGACTTTAAGTGCTTTGAAGATGTTAAAAGGCTGGACTGGCAGAAACTTATGAGAGCAAAACTGAGATTGTTGTCTTTGGACCTCCAGGTGCTGTCTCTGATATCACTATTAATGATATCAAACATTCATCCTTTTGCTAAAAACTTAGCTGTGATTTTTGACACTGATCTGAATTTTGAAAAGATGATAAGTGCTGTGGTGAAGAGCAGTTTTTTTCAACTAAGGCAAATGTCTATGTTCTCGTTTAAGGATTTGGAGATAGTTACTCATGCCTTCATCACTTCCAGACTTGATTATTGCAATGCGCTTTATATGGGTCTCAATCATTCATCGCTGAATCGCTTGCAGTTGGTCCAGATCACAGCCGCGAGGTTGCTGACTGGTACTAAGAGGAGAGAAAGCATTTCTCCCATCCTAGCATCTCTTCATTGGTTACCGGTGCAGCATAGGATCCATTTTAAGATTTTATTATTTGTGTATAAAGCATTAAATGATCTAGCCCCATCATACTTGTCCGAAATTCTCAGCTATCAGCAATCCTCTCACTCTATCAGATCCTCTGATAAACCTTTCTTGCATATACCTCGCTCTCGCTTGAAATTGAGAGGGATCAGGCTTTTTCTGTAGCCGGTCCTTGACTATGGAACAGCATACCTCTGGACATTAGATCTGCGCCTTCCCTTCCTGTTTTTAAATCCCGCCTGAAGACTTATCTGTATTCCTTGGCTTTTGGATGAAATGTATGTTAATGTGTTTTTCTATTGATTATGTGTTTGAGTCATTTCTTTTTATTCTCTTAATCTCTATATTTAATTTATTTGTATATGTACAGCACTTTAGCATACACTAGCTGTTTTTAAGTGTGCTATATAAATAAACTGACCTTGACCTAAATCACTGAAGTTGTTGGTCAGTTCCATATAAGACTATAGAAGAATAATGGTACATTTAATAAGAGTACAAAATATACCTTTTCTACATAAAAATTTGATTTTGCACATTACTGTTGTTAATAAAATATTGTAAGCTTCCCAACTCAAGCTTAGTGCTTTACAATCAAATGTGTATAAACATGTAATATTATTAGTAACTGCACTTAAAGCAAAACAATAATATATTTTTCATATCCCTCTGAAATTAAAAGAATACTGCACATTGTAACTTCTATGAGTTAAGTCTATCAAAGCATTTGTCAGTAATCGTTAAAATGGGGAAATATGTGAACGACTGCATTTGCAGGCTAATTTAAGGCGTGCCCCTAAATTTTCTGCTTGTGCTCCTAAAAATTCAGTCAGGGGCTACAGTGCTCCTAGTAAAAATAGTTAGTCTGGAGCCCTGTAAAAGGTACAATCACTTCATATGATTAACAGATTTAACTTAGGCTTTTATGTTATTTGCTCTATATATACACACACACATGTAAATTAATGTTTAGATGAAAATAAAAGCTATAATATAAAATATAAGCTTTTCATTATATAAAGTGATTGTAGTCACTCACAGGACTTGGATTAAACCATGTGATTGATATGGATTCATTTTTTGATGCTTTGGAACTTCTAAATTTTGGTTACCTGGAATTTCAATGGAGGGACAGTAATCTCTCGGGTTTCATAAAAAAATATCTTAATGTGCATTTCAAAGATTAACCAAAAGTCTTATGGGTATGGAATGACATGATTTTTTAATTTTTGGGTGAGCTATCCATTTAAAGGCATGAGATACAATGACAAAGACAGAAATGTGCACCGTAATTAAACTGACAAATTATGCTTTTTCACTTGTTCAACTTTAGTTAGTCTGTAATGTTGCTGTTTGAGCATAAAAAAAGATCTGCAAATATACAAAGCTCAAAGTCCAATTCAAAAGGAGATATTTTATTTAAAGGGGTCATATGATGCTATTTCAAGCTTGCCTTTCTCTTTGGAGTGTTAAAAGCTGATTGTGCATAGATAAGATCCCTGAAGTTGCAAAGACTAAAGTCTCAAATCCAAAGAGATATTCTTTATCAAAGTTAAGACTCTGCCACGCCCCCCTAAAACGGCTCTTTCTAAGACGCCCCCACATATCCACCTCACTATGTGGAAATATTTGCATAATGCCGCCTAAATGAGCAGACTGCGCTTGTCGGAAGGAGGGGCTTTGTAGAAAACGAAGCGTTTGAGAGAGGACCTACAATAATGTACAGTATTTGAAAAATAATGTGTTTTTTGAACATTAAAGCATGTCAACATATTCTGTTACACCGAATAATGATCTTTAAAAAAAGCATCATATGACCCCTTTAACAGAAATCACTTAAACTACAACGAACGACTCGTTTGGACTACAACACATATTTTCCAGTATTTGTGATATCACAAATATTGACGAATGGGACGAGACCTGGTTGAGCTGCACTAAAGAAGGCAACGAGTGTTATCACTATGTCAGAGACACGCTAGCTTTCCCAAGGCAGACCAACTTAGAGTGGTTACAATCATCCGGGTTTAAATCGCGCTCAAATTTATTTGATATTGATGCAATATTTACACTGAAGATCGCGGGCGGCTATGGTAAGGGGCATGACATTTCCCGACCAGGCGCCAAGTGGTGCCAATCACAACACACACTGGCCCAGCTAACCAATCACAGCACATTTCGTATTTCAGAAGGCGGGCCTTCATTTGATACAGGAACTATTCGAGCCGTTCATGCCAGACTGGGGAGAAAGGTGTTGTAATAATGTAAAATGTGAAAAATAATGTGTTTTTCGAACAACCTAGTATGAAAGCCTGTTCTAGTGCATCCCCCAAAACAAAATCAAGACTTTGTAAAAGAGCATAACAGGACCCCTTTAAATAAATAGCTACACAGTGGTGTTGTCGTCTAAAGACCTACTTGTTTGGCCAGAGCGCAGGCCTGCTCGGGAGAGCTGAGGATCTCATAGTAGAAGACAGAGAAGTTGAGAGCCAGTCCCAGACGGATGGGGTGTGTGGGCTGCATCTCCTCCTTACTGATATCAAAAGCATCCTGGTAGGCGCCTTGAGAGTTGGTTATCGCGTCTGTAGTGACACACACAAAAAGTTATGAAAATATTAGTGATTGGTAAAAAAAAAATTATAATAATTATAATTAGTAGCAATGAGTTAGTGGTTTTAGTCTCAAAAACAAAGCTCTAGGAATGTAGACTTCTTAACCATTTCACTGGTTGGCTTTAGTTTAATGGTTCTTAACTAACTCCAGGGTCCCCTTTGTCCAAGATGATAATCAAAAATCCTACTATGCTGATATGTACATCTGGTTGTAATAAAAACAAACTTAAAAATATCAGTTTAATGTATAAGTATGAATATGAATATAATGGTATAAGAATAAAAATACGTAAGCATTATCAATTACAGAATGTGAAATCTCAAAACATCTAAAGGCATAACCCTTAAGGTCGAGATGGTGAAATATCCTCCAGCATTAGATGCTTGGCAATGTAGGCATATTCTGAATTGGTTCTCAATGACTGCTCCTGTTCTGTAGCCTGCCAGAAGGGGAATAAAAGGCCCCAGAAGGACAAGCAGCTGACTCAAGGAGTGTGCAGAAAACGCCACAAGGCAGCAAAATACTCGGCACAGAACCCAGGCTCATTCATCCTGAACTTTAAGTCCAAAGACCCAATTTGGCCCAGAGCAAAGCACAAGATACAGCACAGATGAGGTCTCCCAAATACAGACCAAATTTGTGTAATTCACAATATGAGATGAAACATTTGTGCTTAAATATGAGAAAACAACATGCATATACAGCCCTTTCCTTTATAGCAGAAAATCAGTAAGACACTTACCCTTCCTGTCATCTCCTGAGGCAACCTCCGCAAGATATCTGTAGTAGTCACCCTTCATCTTTAAATAGAAGACTTTGCTCTCAGCATTTGTTGAGTTCTTGATCAAATATTTGTCCAGCAGTCCCTAAGAGTGGGGAGAGAGAGGAAGTGTAAGGATAGACCGATAGAGAGAGCTTGTTTATCTACCTTAAACAAAACTGTTACAAGAGAAGCAATTAATTAAGGCGGAAATGGCTGCAGTATTATGGGATTATAAACATGAAAAATATTAACTGACAAAGCAAGCACAAAGTTTCTCATTTTAATCCAAGAACCCAAATTCTCTGCCACTCCAGTCTGAGGCTAGTACACTGACTGATATTCAGCATCTTCCCCAGTTTACTACATTCTGGGCGTTGGTGGTTCAGTAGGGCTGTTAGACAAACCATGCAAACACAAATAAACAACTGAAAAGCACAGAACGGTGCAGACTTCCTGTGTGACACCCCAGCCCTTTCAATGCTCAGACTGTCATTTTAGATCTGCTGTGCCAGCTGTGTGCATTTCCTCACTGTGAAACAAAAAAACAAAAGAAAGGAAAAAGAGCAAAAATGGAGGAAACTAAAAAGAAAAGAAATTGAAAAAAGAAAAATTAAGAAAAGAAAACAACTTTGACATGAAAATTGACATCAGTGCATTTAATCTAAAGAGACCAGTCATGGTACTCTGGCCCCACATGACCCTGCGATTGCACAGTCCAAGTAGCAGCTACATCACATGTGCTTCCTAATGCCTGATTTAACAGCACATCTGAGCACTGCAACACACACCCCTCATGACAACACAGACACAGATGTGTCTGAACATAAAAGCCACTGTCAGCATACAGGCAATAAAAATGAAACATTACAACATTTAAATTGAAGAAACCGTAACACTTTCTGGATTTCTTCCAGGTTTTTACCAAACATAAATGTGACCTGAAGAGTAACTAAACATTGATAGAATAAAGGTCACCTTGGGTGTTGTGGAACAGAAGAAAGGGAAACTCATGCAGACAATCTCACGTAAACCAGAAACACTCAGAAAAAGCTAGTGAACAAAGAGGCCTAGAATTAGAGTCTCTCTCTCCCTAAAAAGTTCCTATAAAAAATTTAAAAAAAGGTAACATGTTTTTGAAAAGACTTGTTGAACAGTGATTCTGCTTAAAAGTTTTGTAGAAACAGGGATACATTATTTCCAGGATTCGCATGCAGACAATCTCACGTAAACCAGAAACACTCAGAAAAAGCTAGTGAACAAAGAGGCCTAGAATTAGAGTCTCTCTCTCCCTAAAAAGTTCCTATAAAAAATTTAAAAAAAAGGTAACATGTTTTTGAAAAGACTTGTTGAACAGTGATTCTGCTTAAAAGTTTTGTAGAAACAGGGATACATTATTTCCAGGATTCTTTGATGAATAGCAAGTTCACAGCATTTATTTGAAATATAATTTTTTAAAGCATTATAAATGTCTTTACTGGCTTTTTTTAACAATCTAATGTATCCTTGCTGAATGGTAGTATAAATAGAAAAAAGATAAACTATAAGAATAATAAAATCTTGCTGAATTTAACAATAGCATAGGTTTTATGCAGACTACCACATTCAGATATCGTGCCATGATGCCATCAGTTCATTCCAGCACTTAGGCATCAAGAGGAAAGTCCTACAGGGACCCCCCAAAAAAACTTTGTAACATTTGGGAGGATACAACAAAAAACTAATGTCATTTTCAATCTCCTAATGAAAGTTGTTTAAACATCAGTGTTCCTTGCCTGCTGTTAACACCATCTATAGTTTAAATGCTAAATGTCAGAAAAGCAAATGGTAAAACTAGCTTTCGATCTGCACATGACTGTACAAAGTTGAATAACTGCAAACAAAGATCATAAATGGAAACAAGAAGGTAGTAACTTCTTGAACCAGCAAATTTAAGCATTTTAGCAACTACTCCATACAATTCCCATTAAAACACACTGAAATAGAAAGCGGCCCCACTGTTTTGAATGTCTTTCTCAAGACAATTTATTTTAGTGTTATTTTAGCATTATTTGTATATTAGGTTACACTTTACTTGAAGGGGTGTGCATAAGACTGACATGACACCTTCATAATCATGACATGACACCTACATGTCATGAATATGAAGGTTTTTTATGCATGTTTATGACAACTGTCATTAAGTGTCATTCGCTCAGTTATGTAATTTTTAATGCAAAGATGACATTGTTTGAGGTGTCTTTGTTATGGGCTATGGTTAGGGGTAAGGGTAGGGTTAGGTTAGGTTAGGTTTAGGTCAAATAATGTCATATTTGCATTAAAAATGACATAACTGAGCGAATGACACTTAATGACAGTTGTCAAACATGCATAAAACCTCCTTCATATTCATGTCATGTCAGTCTTATGCACACCCCTTCAAGTAAAGTGTTACCGTATATTATAATATTTTGAATGAACTCATTTCAGTTTTAGTAATTTAGCAAATAGTAATTAAAGGTCACATATTTTACACCTTCCTTGAGTTTTATTTTAAGTCTTGATGTCCTTAAGAATATATATTTGCGGTATAAGTAAAACCATCTCAACATTTTTACAGCTCCTCTCTCAGGAGCTCTGCAAAGTACAGGTCGAGTTTGGCCTGTCTAATTAATATTCATGAGCCTCTCTTCTGATTGGCCTGATGTATTCTGAGTGACGCACGGCCAGGCCAACCACAGGTAATTAGGGTCATGTATGCTGTAGCCTGCTGTGGATTGGTGATACTCACAAGTAAGGTAATGACGGTCACTGCTGAGGGAAATGTTGTCCGGCCTTATATGTTTGAGCCAAACTCAGACCCGAATCCACAACGACAGGAGACAACCAACCACCTCCTCAAACACGCTTACAACAGGATGTTTCAGAATGGTAATTCATGTTTTTTTTTTTTTCAAACACCGAATGCAGTAAATACAAACCTGACCAGCAGAGATGCACCGATCGATCGGCCAGGGATCGGAATCGGCCGATTTTCCTCATGATCGGCCCGGATCGGTGATCGGTCTCACTTCTTTCCGATTTCGAGCCGATCCGTTTTGTTACCAGCAATAACATCAGCCGCGCATTCTCGCTCTCTTCTCTCCGACGACCCCTTCTCTCACACACACACACACACGTCTCATTCGCTCTGGTTAAATAATGCTTGTATTGCGCATTATAGTCATTCCCGCAGGTTTCACGCTTATACCAAAAGTGCGGGCACCACCACTGATCTATATTAGTGGAGCACACAATCCGCGCTCAGTCTCAAACAGCTTGTGAGCCACAAATACCAAAATGAGTGGCTAACTACACTAAAACGTTCAAATACATACAAAATCGTCAAAATGCCCGTCTTGGCGAGTATACAGTTAAACACAGTCAGTTTTGGAATGATAAATAGTTGAGAAAGAGAACGCATGTTGTGCAACAGTATATTGGGTCCGTGGATACACTCTTAAAGGGACTGCAGTCCAATATTCCTGCTGCTGTCTGTCATGTTAATCAAACAACAAAAGACAAAGAAAAATAATTTTCTGCTCTTGACTGAATACGCTATATAACTTTAATGGTAAGCATTAATAGACATTTTTACAATAAAGACTACATAAATTGAAGTAATCAAATCAAAAATAACACTGGATGTGTTATTTTACATTTGATTACTTTAATTTCTGTAGTATTTCTTACATGAATAAAAACTTAATTCTGGGTTCAGACACACTCTCTCAGTTTAAATCTAGATTAAAGGCACATCTCTTTGGCTAAGCATTCAAATAATACATCTCATAATCTTGTACTGCAGTTATATCTGATCAAATGCACAGTTATTCTTTAGTTTGGGTTAAACAAATCAATTTTGCTTGGTTGGAACAGCAGCTACGCTAATTATGTCTCTATTTGTTTCTCTGTTTTTGGGTCATTTGTGAATTAGCATAGACTTATAGTCTAAATAAAACAATTTGCAACGGTTACCATTACACTTGTACACAAAACTTTGTATTATGCTTGTTATAGAGTGTGTGACGTCACATGCACTACGAAGGCGGTGACCGAGTAGTTCTGACGTCACCTTTTTACCGAAGTCACAACGGTTCGTGAAAAAACACAGCTACTTTATGCAGGCCGTGTGCATTTGACGGTTTTGAAACTTATATGGTAGTTACCACAACACCTAGACCTCAGTTATCATGAAAAAAGCCAGGAAATTTCAGTTAAAAAAAAAATTTGTAGGGTGCCACAAATTTGTTAAAATTTCCAAAGGGTGCCGCGACTAAAGAAAGGTTGGGAAACACTGATTTAGAAGACGAGAACTAAACAAAGTTAAGTCTGACAGAAAGGGACCGATGGCCGGCCAGCCGGGGTTCGTCTTTATTTAAATTTATGTGTGTGTACTTCTAACATGTTTGGTTGGTAAAATAAATGTTGTAAATTCAAATCAGAGCGTCTTCCGTGTCTGGAATGGATGTATTCTTGAGTCTATAAGGTAACAAAAATATAATAAGATAACCTTGTTTGAAATGGGTTTGGCTAAAAGAAAATTTTGGTTTTGTCTATACTACTAGGTACGTATACCATATTGACTGGGTTAAATAGAATTGCATTTCTAAAAAGAAACTAAAATAAAATGTATTGACAAACTAGACTAAATGTCATCAGTTTTCGTCGACTAAAACTAGACGAAAATAGTCATGGATAATTCTGACTAAAATAAGATTAAAATGCTCAGACTTTTAGTTGACTAAAAATTGACTAGACTAAAAAGAGTATGAACGTGACTAAAACTAAAATTCCATAATACAATAGCAAAATATATAAATATGTATAGTATTTTTATGTTACATTAATCAGTATTTAGCACACCTTCCTAAGGAAAGTATATGGACCAGAAGACATTGCAATTACTAAATGATATTTAGACAGACTTAAAGAAGCTCCAGATCTATACTTATGCCCTTGTTATTTCAGTTATTTTGCATTTAATGTAAATAAGCATGTGCAAACAATATACTTGCTCTTGTGAATTTATTTTGATGTTAATTACATTGTGCCAGCTGTCTCTTTAATACCGCGTGGTTTATATACATGCTGCTGCTGATTGGGCT